GCAGTGAGACAGACCCCGCAGGCCCCAGTGGCAGGAAGCAGCAGAGGGAACTGCCATTGTCCCTCTTTGACCCTGCCCCCACATACAGTGTCACAAAACAGCGACCTGGGTGGCCCTGCCCTGGTGAACAACTAAGGCTCCCCTCCTCTTATGTAACAGGCATGAACAGATCAAAACATGGCGCAAGAACAACTCAGAGTCCCAGAGCCCATAAATCTAAGTGCTGAAGAAATAGCCAAACTTTCAGATGCACAGTTCAAAACACTGGTCATCAGGATGCTCACAGAACTGGTTGATTTTAGTCACAAAATAGAGGAACATATGAAGGCTAAACTAATTGAAATGAATGGAAATACACAGGACACCAATAGTAATGGAAAAGAAACTGGGACTCAAATCAATGGAGTGGACCAGAAAGAGGAAAAAAATGACCAAACAGAAACATATGAAGAAACAAGAATTCAAAAAAATGAGGAGAGGCTTAGGAACCTTCAGGACATCTTTAAATGTTCCAACATCTGAATTATAGGGGTACCAGAAGGGAAAGAGGAACAGCAACCAATGGAATATTTTTTTTAACAAATAATAAAGGAGAACTTCCCCAATCTGACAAGGGAAATAGACTTCCAGGAAATCCAGGAAGCTCAGAGAGTCCCAAAGAAGTTGGACCCAAGAAGGAACACACCAAGGCACATCATCATTACATTAGCCAAAATTAAAATGAAGGAGAAAATCCTAGAAGCAGCAAGAGATAAGGGGACAGTCACCTACAAAGGAGTTCCCATCAGACTGTCAGCAGATTTCTCAAAAGAGACCTTACAGGCAAGAAGGGGCTGGAAAGAAGTATTCCAAGTCATGAAAACCAAACATCTACATCCCAGATTGATCTATCCAGCAAAGCTTTCATTTAGAATGGAAGGACAGATAAAGTGCTTCTCAGATAAGATCAAATTCAAGGAGTTAATCATCAATAAGCCCTTATTATATGAAATGTTAAAGGGACTTATGTAAGAAAAAGAAGATAAAAAACATGTACAGTAAAACGACAGCAAACTCACAATTATTAACAACCACACCTAAAACAAAAGCAAACTAAGAGGACAGCTAGATCAGGAGTGGAAACATAGAAATGAAGATCTCATGGAGGGTTAGCAATAGGGGAGTGGGAGGAGGAGAAGGGGGGAGAAGGTACAGAAAATAAGTAGCATAGACTGTAGATGGAAAATAGATAGGGTGAGGGCAAGAATAGTATGGGAAATATAGAATCTAAAGAACTTGAGACACATGGTCATAAACTAAAGGGGGGCAATGGTTGGGGAGGAGGTGTGCAGGGGGGAGGGGAATGAAGGGGGGAAATAGAACAACTGTAATGGCATAATCAATAAGGTATGTTTTTTTAAAAAAAGAATACAGTACCTTCAATACTTAAAAAATAAAAATAAAAATAAAAAATATTTTGTCATCCCTATTCAGTTTTTTATGCAGCAGTCATTCTAAACCTTTAATTCTTTCCTCCAAATGCATTCTGCTCCATCCATTTACCCTTCCTCACCTCCCTGCAAGGTTCTTAAAGAGTGGCCATGGGGCTTGTAAACTCCTTGAACTTTCTGTTTCGCTTGCTTCTTAATTGGTTATTTATTCAAGACCTACTATATAAAGACAGAGAGGATAAAAGTCCCTGTTCTGAAGGAGTCTGACAGCAGAGACTAGTAAAAGAAGATTCTATATCAGCCTGGTAAGTAGTTTGATAAAGGAGTGTAAATTAGCCTGGGCATAGAGAAAGCTTTAGGAGAAAATAAGCTCAGTCTCAAAGTGCAGAAGAGGGTATACTGCACTTAAAAAGTGGAGACAAGAGGGTTCTGGAGAGAGGGAAGAAGAGATTAAAGGGAGATGCTGGTGAGACTGTATTGCAGTATGAAGATCAGGATAGCTGGAGCACAAAGATATGTGGGAGAAGAGGAGATAATCATTGAAAATCCCCAACAAGGAGGGCCTTGAATGTCAGGCTAAGTAATATGGGCTTTATTCTGTACGTAACCAGGTGCCACCAAATGATTTTAAGCAGGGGAGTGACAAGATCATATTTGCTTTTAGGAACAACCACTTGAGTAGCAGTGTGGAGGTTGGTTTTGAGAGGGATAAGGCTGAAATCTGGGACAGATCAGTTAGGAGGCACTTTCAGTAACCATTGGTGACATGAATGAGGGCCTAGATGATGACATGGTTCAGAAACAAGGAGATGGATTTAAGACATACTCAGGAGACAGAACTAACAGAACTTGGTGACAGAAAACCAATATGAAGGCGAAAAAGAAAGAAAAATCGAAGGTGACTCCCAGTTTCCACCTTGAATGGCTCAGTAAAGCTACTCAGCAAGGTTAGAAAAATGCAAGGAGGAATAAGTTAGGAAAGAATTAATTTAGTTCTTCCTTTAGGCAATCTAAATGTGGAGACAGACTACTTTGGAAGTGGATTTGACAGTAATCAAAGTAAACGTGCCATGGTTGTAAATGAATGTGTCAAGTTAAAAGAGGACTGAAGGTAGTACTTTGGGGAAAATAGCATTAAAAGGATTGGGAAAGAGGAGAGCCTCAAAAGGAGACCAAGTTCTGTGTGTCTATATCTACACTCCTCAGTTCCTGGAGAGAAAGAGGCCATTACTTGAATCCAAGGCTCACATATCCATTGCCACATTGGATTCCATTCCTTTGTGCTCCTTCAGGTCTTGCTCCACCAACAGCTCCCTCCTCTCTTATATCTCCAAACTCTTCCCATTAGCATACATTAGTAAAAGTTTCCTCTGTACTAAAAAATGAGGCCCCTTCCTGGGCCATGCTTCTTCCAACTTTCACTGTATCTCATTCCCTTTCTAAATTCTTTTTTTTTAAAATTATTTATTTATTTATCTTTAGAGGGGATGGGAAGGAGAGAGGGAGAGAAACATCAATGTACGGTTGCCTTTTGTGCGTCCCCTGCTGAGAACTGGCCTGCAGGGAACTGGTCTGCAACCCAGGCATGTGCCCTGACTGGGAATCGAACCGGGATTGTCTGGTTCACAGGCCCGTGCTCAATCCACTGAGCTACACCAGCCAGGGCCCTTTCTAAATTCTTGAAAGAATAATTTAACTTCACTCTCCTTACTTCCTCATCTCCTATTCACCTGGCTTAAAGCAATCTGCCTCTGCCTCCACCATTTCTACAAACTGTTAACTGTAAGGTCACCAATCATGTAACTCTTGAGTCCAGTAAACACTTTTTAGATCTTGTTCAAATTCTCTGGGGCGTGAAACATTTATGTAACTTTCTTTTCTTTTTTGGCTTTCAGGACACCACTACTCTCATTTGGTGACTCACCTACCTATTCTGATCTTAAACAGTGTTTTGCCTTTGGTCCTCTTCTCTTTTCACTCCCTACACTTTTCTCCAGCAATCTTACCCACTTCTACTATATTTAACTCTTAGTCTTGACCTTCTGAGTGCTACCTATTGAACATTTTTACCACTTAAAGCTTTTGGGAATAGACAGAAGAATAAATACACAGATAGATTGGCTATTTTCAACAGACAACAGAATTTATCTTGTCATAAACTGTACTCTCCTCCCCTGCATCAATTCCCCCACAATCCTGTTCATCTGTATTCTCTGTTTTCACACCCAAGGGGAAAAATGCTAAATCATCACATTGTACACCTTAAACTTACACAATGTTATATGTCAATTCTATCTCAGTAGAACTGGGGAAAAATTAAGAATAATCCTAGGCATGACCCTGTCACAAACTCCCAAAGATTAGTTTTATAAGCTCTTGTTTTTGGATCTGCCCCCTCCTTTCTATCTGTACTGTCATTGCCTTAGCTCAGGCCCTTAGATCTCCTACATAAACTATAACAGTACCACCCTAACTGGTTTTCTCTCCTTCAGTCCCAATCCACCTTCTGGATTGTAACCGGACCAAATTTAACAGAAGATGAGTCAGATCATGTTAACCCTTTATTTATATTTAATTGCTTCCCAGTTTCTCTAGGATAAGAAAACAAAATAGGACCCTTCATTTACTATCCTCTGCCTGCTTTTCTGACTTCATCTTTAGCCCCTACATACTGTATTAGGACCCTGTGTGCTAGCCCTGAGTTTCTTTAGGTCAGCTGTTTCCTCTGCCAAGCTCCCTAAAATTTCCTCCTCTGTGGTCAGCAAGCAGCCACCCATCCTGAGTGTTACAGGAGCAGTCACTGAAATATATTTAACACTGTAGGACATCTATATATAGTCCTTGGACATAAAAGGATGAGCTCATCAAGTGACAACTCCAGGTGTCGTCTTCTCTTCACTGCTGCATCCCCCACCGTTTCAGGGATCATGCAACTATTATGCTTAATAAGTGTGTGTTGAGCTGCCCGTCATTTCTTCGCAGGGGTGACAAAACCCTTAAGGGGGTCTCTGGGATTGAATTTGGCTGATAATCACCGCCGTCTGTCACGTGCAGCACCAAGTCTAATCCCTAGGTGGCGAACGTGCAGCTCCACTGTTTTGGAGTGGGAGGGCGTCCAGCCAAAGGATTCACCGCTTAGCTGATTCGGCCAAGTACTGGGCGAGTCCTCTGTTCCAACTCATTATTCATTTCAGCAGGGGCGTCAAGAGGGGCGAGCCTAGCCCGCACCACCTTTCAAAAGCAGAACGTGTGAAGGCAGATGTGACGAATTAGGAATACCTGATAAGAGCCGCCTGTCAAAGCCAGATCCGCTAGGATCGCTCGGCCGTTAGCAATGCAGCTGTAGGTGATTGTCATAGCGGGCTGGCCACTGAAGGAAAGGTTCCCGCAGGACCTAACCGCCTGTCACAGTCTCGGGGCAGTGACTAGGGGCGGGGCTAGGGGGACGGGGGCGGTGCCTGTGCTGGTGCCAGGAGCGATTGATTGGCAGGGAGGGAGGCGGGGCTGTTTCTTGCCTGGGTTAAACCCGTGATAAACGCTTGTGAAGCAGCAGAGGGGTGGCGGGAGGCCGGTTTGGGGGGTTGGGGGGTTGGGACTGTGGAGGACGACTGTTGGCGAGTCTCTGGAAAAACTAACTTTGGGTGAGTGAAGCTCTTGTGATCATTTTCAAAATTGTTTAAGAGCCAGTTTACTACATAGTGCCAACCTACTAGATAGGGTTCATTCATAATCTAACACATGTTAAATATAGACCTTGATTAAAAATAAAATTCATTAATTAACTGGACAAGCATTGGTTGAAGTCCCACAATGAGCTAACTTCCTTAGATTAACAAGTATGCATAGTTGTAAGCTTCGGACCCTCGGTTTGAGGAGTTCGTATTCTAGAAGTAGTTACAGAAGCACATGCAAATAAACGTCAATCTAGAGTGCTGTATGTATATGTGTGTGTTATGGTGGAAAGATAAAGTAGGTTGCAAAGCCTGCAGTGTAGGCAGTTAATCCTTGGGAGAGGGAGCAAAACTTTCGAAGTCAATGTCCGTTTTAGAGGGTGGGTCAGAATCCTCTAAGCGGGAAGGAAAGATAGGGCAGTCCAAGCAAAGGAACAAATCTTTAAGGCTTGAAGGAAGGCAGGTGAGTTTAGGGAATGGATATAAGTGAGTGTGGCAGAGGGAAGGCATATGGTGGAGTGAGCAGGAGATGAGAAGGGTAGTATTGGTAGAATGATTTTCATTATACCAGATTTTTAGTTTCCTGACAAGAATTTTTTTAATGTATAAACTTAAGATAACCATATATTTTCATTAGCAAGGTGTTGTGGAAGAGTGGAAAGAGGTCAGATAAAACTTGGATTCAGATATAGACATTGCTGTTTATTCTGGGCCTTTAGTGCAACTTAACTTTTCTGAGACTCAGTATCCCAATCTATAAAATGAGGATAGATGTCAAGTTCAAATTAAGTAATTATGCACAATTCTTAGCATATATAGATAAGAAATTGCAATCTTTATGTGATAAGTACATTAATGAAAATTACTTTCTTCCTCCCAATAGTATAACTTAAAAGGAAAAACAATGTCCTTCTGGGGTCCTGGCAGGGGATGAAGACAGGTAGTAATTGAGTTTAAATTAACCCAGTAAAATCAAAATGGATTTGAAGAGCAAGCAGCAAAACTGGTGTGGACTGTAGCTCTTGAGAAAAATGCCTTGTTGAATTCATGTATCCTTCCACATAAATTAAATCTTGAATTAAGGTGTCTTATCAGCTTAGAGATAATGCCTTGTGTTACAGGTGGGAGTGACTGAATAAAAGCTCTGGTTACATAACTTATGTAATAAGTTACATAAGGGACTTATGTAAGAAAAAGAAGAATGAGTGAGAATCATGTTATTACACACCTAAAACAAAAGATAGGTAGTCAGAGTGGACTAGAAATAGATTCAGGAGTAGTTTTATGTACCAGAAAGTGAAATATTTTTAAAATTATTTATTGATTATGCTGTTACAGTTGTTCTATTCCCCCCTTCATTCCCCTCCACCCTACCCCCCCATCCCCACCATTACTCCCCCTTTAGTTTATGACCATGTGTCTCAAGTCCTTTAGATTCTATATTTCCCATACTATTCTTGCCCCCCCCCATCTATTTTCTATCTACTGTCTATGCTACTTATTTTCTGTACCTTCTCCCCCCCTTCTCCTCCTCCTACTCCCCTGTTGCTAACCCTCCTTGAGATCTTCATTTCTATGTTTCCACTCCTGATCTAGCTGTCCTTTTAGTTTGCTTTTGTTTTAGGTGTGGTTGTTAATAACCGTGAGTTTGTTGTCCTTTCACTGTTCATGTTTCTTTAACTTCTTTTTCTTAGGTAAGTCCCTTTAACATTTCATATAATAAGGGCTTGGTGATGATGAACTCCTTGAATTTGATCTTATCTGAGAAGCACCTTATCTGTCCTTCCATTCTAAATGAAAGTTTTGCTGGATAGAGCAATCTTGGTTGTAGGTCTTTGGATTTCATGACTTGGAATACCTCTTTGCAGCCCCTTCTTGCCTGTAAGGTCTCTTTTGAGAAATCTGATGACAATCTGCTGGGGACTCCTTTGTAGGTGACTGTCCCCTTAGCTCTTGCTGCTTCTAGGATTCTCTCCTTCATTTTAATTTTGGCTAATGTAATTATGATGTGCCTTATGGTGTGTTCCTTCTTGGGTCCAACTTCTTTGGTACTCTCTGAGCTTCCTGGATTTCCTGGAAGTCTATTTCCTTTGCCAGATTGGGGAAATTCTCCTTCATTATTTGTTCAAATAAGTTTTCCACTGGTGGCTCTTCCTCTTCCCCTTCTGGTACCCCTATAATTCGGATGTTGGAGCATTTAAAGATGTCCTGGAGGTTCCTAAGACTCTCCTCATTTCTTTGAATTCTTGCTTCCTGACTCTTTTCTGTTTGGCCATTATTTACTTTCTTCTGGTCCACTCCATTGATTTGAGTCCCAGTTTCCTTTTCATTGCTATTGGTGTCCTGTGCAATTCCATTAATTTCAATTAGTTTCGCCTTCATATATTTGTCTAATTTGTGGCTATAATCAACCAGTTCTGTGAGGATCCTGATGACCAGTGTTTTAAATTGTGCGTCTGAGAGTTTTGCTATTTTCATCACTTAGATCTATGGGCTCTGAGGCTTTGAGAACTTGCGACATTTTTGGTCTGTTCTGGCCCTTTAAGTGTGAGAAGCGGTGCCTTGGACTCCCAGGTCGCTGTGTTGTGACGCTGTATGTGGGGGCGTGGTCAGAGCGGGGAAATGGCGACCCCCCTCTACTGCCGATTGCTGAGGGGACTGCCGGGCCCCGGTCCAACCACTCACTCCCTCGCCTGTCCGCTCGCGCACAAATGGGCGACCACAGTCAACACGCAGCACCACTTCCCCACTGTCTCCTTCGCGGTCACTCGCCTGGTGGCTGGCTTGGTCGCTCACTAGGTCCAAACCTGCGCCTGGATTCCGTGCGTCTGGATTCCGTGCCTGAGTCCGTCTGACCGAGTTTTCCTGTGCAAACCCGCTTCACCAGCCGCTGGTTTCGCCCCTTACCGGTCAGGCTGAAGAATTTGTTGTTAACGGACTTCCGAAAAGTTCAATTTTCCGTGTTCTGGCTGTGTTTTCTGTTGCTAATATTTAGTTGTCTCTAAACTTGGTTGTGTGAGAAGGCACGGCACATCCACCTATGCCTCCATCTTGGTGGAAGTCTGAAAGTGAAATATGTTAATTCTGAGGTAATGTGTTGGTATATTTTTGCTTACAGTAAAAATAAGGAGAACAAACTTGGCCATATCACAGTGCAACTTCTGTTTATTAAACAGGGGATCAGAAGGTGATTGGGCAATAAAATCATGAGATGTCCTAAGGATAGGGAGCAGCTGATAGTTGGAGAGGTGTACATGGGACCTCTCTTGTCTGTTTTGCCTTGCCATTAAAACTATCCTGTGTAGTGGGTTCACTGTGTACAATCTACAGGTTCATGCCTATAGTTATGTATAATTTATACATAACTGTAAAATTTATAAAATAACTCTGTCTTTGAGCCCCATTTTACCTGATATCTGAGGCTTAATCTAGCCAATATTGGGTTTCCTCAGTTAACTCACAAACTCCCCCTTCCCTTCTTTCTATATGAGGTGGCATCTCTGTGTGTGGGGAAGTTGGTGGAGCGGGAGATCTTTTGATTCACAACCTTCATCTTTTTTTAAAGATATATTTTATTGATTATGCCATTACAGTTGTTCCCTTTTCTGCCCTCCATTCTCCTCCACCCTGCACACCCTCTCCCCCCACATTCCCCCCCTTTAGTTCATGTCCATGTGTCACAAGTTCTTTAGCTTCTACATTTCCCATACTATTCTTGCTCTCCCCGTTTATTTTCTACCTATACTACTTATTCTCTGTACCTTCTTCCCACTCTCCTCCTCCCACTCCCCTGTCGTTAACCCTCCATATAATCTCCATTTCTGTGGCTCCCCTCCTGATCTAGCTCAAAACTTAGTTTGCTTTCGTTTTAGGTGTGGTTGTTAATAACTGTGCATTTGATGTCCTTTCACTATTCATATTTTTTATCTTCTTTTTCTTAGATAAGTTCCTTTAACATTTCATAAAATAAGGGCTTGGTGATGATGAACTCCTTCAACTTGATCTTATCTGAGAAGTGCTTTATCTGCCCTTCCATTCTAAATGAAAGCTTTGCTGGATAGAACAATGTTGGTGGTAGGTCCTTGCATTTCATGTCTTGGAATACTTCTTTGCAGCCCCTTCTTGCCTGTAAGGTCTCTTTTGAGAAATCAGCTGACAGTCTGATGGGAACTCCTTTGTAGGTGACTGTCCCCTTATCTCCTGCTGCTTCTAGGATTCTCTCCTTCATTTTAATCTTGGCTAATGTAATGATGATGTGCCTTGGTGTGTTCCTTCTTGGGTCCAACTTCTTTGGGACTCTCTGAGCTTCCTGGAAGTCTATTTCCTTTGCTAGATTGGGGAAGTTCTCCTTTATTATTTGTTAAAAAAAAGTATTCCATTGGTTGCTGTTCCTCTTTCCCTTCTGGTACCCCTACAATTTGGATGTTGCAACATTTAAAGATGTCCTGGAGGTTCCTAAGCCTCTCCTCATGTTGTTGAATTCTTGTTTTTTCCTTCTTTTCTGTTTGGTTGTTTTTTTCTTACTTCTGGTCCACCCCATTGATTCGAGTCCCATTTTTCTTCCCATCACTATTGGTTCCCTGTGCATTTTGCTTCATTTCACTTAGTGTAGCCTTTATTTTTTCCTCAAATTTGCGACCAAAATCAACCAGTTCTGTGAGCATCCTGATGACCAGTGTTTAGAACTGTGTATCTGAGAGGTTGGCTATCTCTTGGTTGCTTAAAAGTATTGGCTCTGGGACTTTGATTTGTTCTTCAGTTTGAGCCATAATTTTTTAGTCTGGTGGTGCATGTTACATAGTGAGGGGCAGAGTCTTAGGTGTTCACCGGGGTGGGGCAACCCAATCACTTGGTTGTGATGGTCTGTGAGGGCAGGGTCAGAGAGGGTACAATGGTGCTTGCTCCACTCTCTCTTGGATTTTAGTCCCCTCTGCTGCTTCCCACAAGCAAAATGGGCCCTTCTGGTGCTG